AACATGAGAACGATCACTGCAACTCCAGAGCTTCTTACATGATGCTACATCGCTCTGCAGGGTCAGATGGGTCCGTGGATTCGTCCGTTTCGAAGGTGACCGATGATCGAAGATCGCCTTCATGATCCTCAAGACGCACTGATGGATTGTCACCGATGGGCCACTAAAATAGATAGTGGTCGATTCAGTGAAGGCCCAACAACTAATAGATAATCCAATAACAAGAAAAAATGAAGTTCAAATTTGGGTTTTATTTGAAACAGATTCCGGTGACTCAACTTTTGGTCAAATAAAGAAAAAGGGGAATTTTTACCCAACAGCGACAGGGCTCTTCGGCACGCGCCAAACTTGACCCACCATCCACGTGCTATTGGTCAAAACGGAGAGTTGACCAATAGCAACGCGAATGTCCACTTGATCACTTGATCCACTTCATATACTTCGCTAATGGTCAGCTTACTATTTGACCAATAGCAAAATGGATAAAGTGGATCAAGTATGGCGTGTGCCTTAGAGGCGCTGCCCTTTCCATACACATAAGTGAGACACTTCTCTGTCTCATCTGAAGTAAGACCAAATCGAGCGGGTCATTATCGCGCAACCGCCTCGCTCGTTTCACGAACGTTAATAGATTGTCCCGCGCCTGTGGATGAGAAAAACTCAGAGTCGAGCTTCATAGGTTGATTAAACGTGGAAAAATAGTCGGAGAAGTCAGACAACACGTCCGAACGTAGTACAATCCGAGGTGAAGCGGCCGCGCAAAAATCGCCGCTCAAGTCGGGCTCACTCCAAATAAGACAGATAATAGGCTCGCAAACCAAATATACACAAGAAAATCTACGTTTTGAAAAACAAAATCCCCTATTTGATAATTCTTAAAAAAAATATAAAAACTCAAGGGAAATAAGCTATAAATACTTACATTCTGCTTCTTCATGACGAAGTCTGTTGGTGGACGGTGTTTCTCGCCAGAATCAGCAGAATACACGGTAGCATGGCCATGAGGATCAAGCTTCATGCGGGTATTGAACTGGTAGGTCACCTGTAAATCAAATTTTCTACCATTCTACGCATTACCCCTCTAGCAATACGAAGTCAACTTGAAGAACACCCACTTCTTTGCCTCCAGCGCGTACAAGCAGCTTCCAGTGTGCGATGCTGACTTCTTCATCGGTGCTGTTCAGAATACGTACCCATTGGCCATTAGGATCGATCTCATCAATTCCAACTGGTCCATCAA